AACTTATCTTTTGGTTTTTATTGCTCACTGAAAAGCGCGTTTAATGAGAGCTATTCTATTTGCAAATTTGATAAATTCTTGGAAACGGGCTCAGAGCTGATTCAAAATTCTACATCAGAACAGACTTAGAGGTTGCCATGGTAGCATGTCATGTCACAGGTACCCCAAGCTCACAAGTGAAAATCGTTGTTGCGTAACAGAAATATCATAACGGTTTGTATGGGGATATTAGCGATCGTTATTTAGGGGTCAAAAAAGCACTTTAAATACTTCAGAACTTGTTACCTAGTCTCCTTGTTGTATTTTTGTTCTCTCTATATTCGAAAGGAAGTTCGCGTCGTATGCCATTGTGAGTGTTTTCCTTTGATTCTTCGCGCGGTTCTTCGATTACTCAAGCACCTAATTAAAGCATTGTTATGTCTCGGGGCGGCTATGGGCCGATAAAGATAGTTATGTTTCGCATGTAAAACAGATGAGTACAGGGAATTTACATTTTGCAATGTGACATGGAAGACTGCGCTTTGTTTTGAATGAAGTTAACTTTATTTATCTGGAGGGTTTTTTTTAAGTCTCCTTATTTTCTAGTTACTTCTTTCCTTTCTGAGGAGGAGAACGGTCCTTGCCTTTTCTAATCGAAGAACCGTCTCCTGTGATTGTTAATAGACCCTAACTGTTGTGGATTCACCTCAATCTCAAATTCAATGAAGATGTAAGCTCTTGTGACACGTATACTTAGATAAACAATTGACACGAGTCTCTTCAATTCGGGTTGGAGATAAAATTCTGAACCGGCAATTCTGGCGAGTTTTCACTAAATGTCTCCCCCGGCCCTACAGCTACGAGAGAATGACGTCTTTTTGGATTGATCCACTTGCGTTGTAATTGTTACGGTAAGTGGTCTAAGTGCTCCCCGGAACAAGCCACAAATCATTGTCATTCTAAAATATGTTCCTCTCAAGCATACACAATAAACGGTTTTTTTTGTTTACAATCATTTCACATTGGCTAGTTTATTTCACCAACTCAGTTGATATAAAACCATTTTTTTTTTTCCTTTTCGCTTCTCCCACCGAAACAACATCAAGGTTTTTTCAGAAACCAGTCCCTTTGCAGTTATCATTTGTGGGAAAGCCTGTCTAAGAATCGGCAAAATCGAGTTAAACGTTTGAAATCGTGAAAAGTTCGATCAGAAACTTATAGAATTTTTTACTACAGGGAAAAAAGACAGAGACCTAACTGATTAAACAACATCGGAAGACAGCTATAAAGACCTCGCGGGTTATTCTTTTTAGAGTCTGGTTATGACTCATTTCGAGTTGATTTTTCACTACACGTAACCAACAGTCTTCTCAACTAGAAGCAAAGGCAGAAAGAAATAGTTACAGTCGAAGCTCTCGTAAGCGATCACTTCATTCGAAGAACAAGTTGCCATAACTACGGAAGCGGTCACTCACAAGAGCTTTTCATCATTTCACACAGGGTTTCACAAAGGTTGTCGTAACTAGAGTAACCTTGTTCTTAATTTTCCCCAGCCACTGAGATGAATCAGGCCTCTGCTGAGAATGATTATCATGATAATTGGTACCAAGGACGCACTTAGCATAGGACCTGTAGACACTCACTGAAGCCATGTAAACTCAGTCAGACATATTAAAGTAGTCACCATTCTGTAAGCTAAGGATAGTTGTAATTATTCCACTGAGATTGCAATCATTCTGTCAACTATTTTCACTGACATTCTTCATCGGACCAACACTTTTGCAGCTATTTGATACTTAACTTGAGAATATATTATAAGCCTTTCTAAAATTTCAAAAATCGCGTTACAACTGTCATTTCCCAAATGCACCAAATTAATCTGGCGGGAGTAACAAAACACTATAAGCAAGTATATTTTATGTATTAAGACTATGAACAGTACAGTTAGCACGAGAAAATCAAACAATTGCAAACATATAGCTATAGCTAAGGGCAGATTATTTGAACGAAGTCAAGAGACGAAGTCTAATTTAAGCCACGGTTCAACACATCTTTGGACCTCAAGATCTTGTCCATAGTGGGTTATTATAAGAAGATAAATGCTTTTCTAGTGTACTCTATATTATGCTTTCATAAAACTGCTCACAATCAATGGTGTTTAGATAAAACAGTTCATGAGAAAAGTGAAAATGGGTTAGAACGCGGTTTTGCTGAACTTGGCGAAAGTACGTTTAAATAACTGGCCCACAGAGTTCTTTTTTCTTAAGTGAAAACTGAAAAAAGAACAAAGATTTTACTTCTAACCTAACCATGTCAGACGTGACAAATATGATCTTTTAATCGTTTCAGATTTGCCCCTGATACACTTCCCGAAGCAAACAGTGTTTTCAATAGTAAGCAAAAAATGCAGAACAGTCACATGCGACGAGTATTGCCGACTCTTTTGACTTCCGCGGTTTCATAAATTGGCCTGGACCTCTTGCTTGGGAACTTTTCGGACGAAAAGTTGCTCTTAAAGGGACTGGTTCACGATAATGCGCATGCGCGCCGTTTGTCTCCTCAGAATAAATTTGTTGGGTCAACACTAAATTCGAAATCGCCATTATCGGTACAATCATTGAAAATCCTTCGTTTTATTCGGACATCCGTCGCTTTGGCTGGTCTAGTTATACTTCGGTAGTGGTGATTAACGTGTGGTTGTGTCGTTTGACTGGTTACGTTTTAAGAAGACGCAAAAAATAACGTTTTGATCATGGAGGTTGAGAAGAGTATCGTGGCCGTCCGGCAACAGGACGTTCTCAAGAGTCTCTGGAGATAGAGAAGCTTAGCCTATCGATCTGGTATGGTTCTAGGAGTAGTGTGTGGCATACGAAAAGAATACACGACACTTGGAAAGTGGTTAAAGGCATGAGTTCGTTCAACGTTGATTTGATTTTTGACTCCGACCTGTAGTTATACCGCAACAGGCCGCGCGATCTTCACCGATCTGGTACACTTGAAATGTTCCTTGTATCTTTGCTTTACGATCGTATATGTTTAAGAATTGATGTTTTTAAAATAAATTATTGCCTGAATATTCTGTTCATAATCTAGTTTCTTTATGTGTGCTACTCAATAACATTTGTTTTGCGGAACACTGACCCGATGCAACGCGAATGAATTTGTTCATTTGCTGATAAACAATTGAAATTTATGCTCAATTAAGGATAATCTTTATACTCATACGTTGTGTGTTTTTGTCACCGGTCCGGCGCTATTTGTAGGTATTTCTGGGTTTATATAAGGCGAACTGAGAGAACAGTAATAAGATGTTTGTTTACAAATTTTGTTTGCCGATCGGTGACTGTTTTGTTAGCGTGGGTACGACCTCGTAAAAATACACGTTGGTAAATGTTTGTTTCAAAGCAGGACAGGGCTGTAAATCTTATTCTTATCGGCTGCAACATATATCTGAGGAGTAGCAAAGAATAAAATTGAATTATGGGGATAAATAAAATCAAACCAAATGCCCGGAAATACTCTCGCGTCGCGAACAAATAATTTGAATTTTGTAAATTTACTTGCGTGCATCTAACTCGCTTCCGATTGGTTGAAAAACAATCAGCTACTGTCAGAACTCACACATGCGCATTATCGTGAACCAGTCCCTTTAAATTGAGGGTGAGCTGTGCTGTAACGATGACATACAAATCATGATTTACTTTCAGAGACTCTCGGAGTCCTCTCGATATTACAAACAAAAATTTTCGTCAATTCCTATCCCACCCCACTGTCAGTTAGGTTCGGCATTTCGTGGTCAACTGACTCGGTAAGCCCCTCCCTCCCGAATTTTTCCTGAGGGGAGGAGGGTCTGTACACAGGCTACAGTTTCCTCGGTATTAACTTTGTTCAATTGGTCCAAAACAAACAATACACAAGGTGGGGTCCCCAGGTTGTCATCCGCTCTACGTTTCTATCCTCACTAGATTTTCTTGCTCGCTATAATTGACTGTGACCTCAGACGAATTACAGAATTTACATACGCGGTGTTATTTTGGGGTATAAATTTCAAGTTTCTATTAACCAATTCCGTTTTGGTTTGAAGGTCTCTTCTGTAGGCTCAGTGAAGTCAACTTCTGTGACCAAGGCAAAGATGAAGCTTTCTGGTATAATAGCAGTGGTTCTGGCTCTGTTTCTCTTTTCTACAGCTGTCGGTATGTCTGATTTTGTTAAGCAAAATTTATTTCTTTAGTTTGAACAACTGCTCCGGTGAAAACCGAAGAGTTTCTCTACAAACATGTTGAAATTACTGCTCAATATCCTAAGAACAATTTATGAAATTGTTTCTTCGATTATCCTGTAGAGGCAAATAAAACTGTATATTTGCATTAATTTGAACAACAGCCCCGATGAAATTGAAGTGCTCCTTTTCAAATATGTTGCCATGATTGACCGATATCCTAAGGAGTATTTATGAAAACGTTTTGTCAATTCACTTTGCAGAGGCTGATACAGAAGAGGACGTTGAACTACTGATTTTCCACCCCAACACGAGTACTAAACTGTCCAAATCTGATGTCCTTAAAAAACTAAAGAAGGCGAACCTCACGGGACAAGGTTTTAAAAAGGGAGTTTCTTATCAGACCGTAAAGAGTGACGGAAGTTCAACCTATTTCAAGGCAAGCATTGCGATTTTCGCTTAATTAACCCCGCGAACTCAGTGGATTAAATCATTCATTCAAAACAACGCCCCAAAAGGCAAAATTAGGGTTAATTTCCTCATTTTTGCAGACCTTCCTTACGTTGTGTCGTTTTACTTTCATTTCTACAGTTTACATTTATTACAAAATGGAGATTGACATGTTAAAGCTAACGATGGTTTTTTATCTTTTTCTCAGGCATCGCACTTCTATTACAAATTAGCGAACTGCTCAAGGATTCCGGAGATTGAAAAAGAGTTGGAAAAATTGATACCCGGTACTGATTGATAACATAAACTAAGACATCTTCTCCCTGTGAAAAATGGCTCTGTCATTAATTCAATTGTTGGTTTTCACATGACGTCACTAAAATTCAAACTTCAAAACTATCGATCCTTCTGAGATTTTACTTTCATGATGTATGAGAGCAGCTGAAAACTAATTTTCATACAAATTTTCGTTTCGAAAGGGGTGTCAATAAAACACGGGGGCAGGGTCGGGGTCGGAGCCGTGGTTGGGGTCTATTATATATTTTTTTGAAGAATGCTGTTTTAGGGTTAGGGTTAGGATTAGGGTTAGATAGGTTAGGTGTTAGATTTAGTGTCAACCCTGACCCTAAAACACCATACTTTAAAAAAAAGTTGGACCCCGACTCCGACCCGGGCCCTGACCGCGCGTTTTGCTCACACCTTTTCAAAAGGGTTCGTGGTTTTGTGATAGAGTATGCTTGAATTTCTACGCTTTCGCGTGACGCGGCATCATGATATGACGGCCAAGATCGAGAGAGTTGTCTGCTGTCTTTGTAGGTTAAAAAAGTGACTTATTTCGGGGCATTTTGCTATCTAAACAGTTCACATATTAGAAAAAGTATTACTTTAATGTTTATGAGTTACTCAAGGAATAAATTTACGCTTTTGTAGGAAAACTCGGTAACAGATGTTTCAACAACAACAACAACACCAAAAGCTTTATTTGCATGACCATAAAGGAATTACAGTATTGCAAAAGCTATTAATCTAAATTTAAGTACTAATTCAACTAATTAGTACGTGCAAAACATTACAAAACGTGACAGTTCTCATTCATTCATTCATTGATATTAATTTGGTCCTTAATTCAAAGCACTGCGAGATAAATGAAACTAATTGACAGTTAATTAAATAATCAGAAGAATTCATAAGAAGAGATATTAAAGTATCGTGTGAAAGTGATTTGATGTTTCTGTTGGTTCCCGGCCGCCGTGTTGGTGCCCATCCGGTTGGGCACCAGCACGGCGTCTCCATACAAATCTCTATAAATTTGGGTAACACATTTCTTCAGATATCTCGTATACGAAATATCGATACTCCTCTGACCTAAATCTCCTTTCATTTCTCAGACTGCGTTGCGTATGCATTCTTCGCGTTTGGCTCACTTACAGTGCATGTGAAGCTAAATTCTTAGACAAAGTCCTTGCCATGCACAAATCAAGGACGAAAAACGCCCGGGGTGGTACTTTTGGAATTTTTGGCCGGGGATGTGCCGCTGGGACCCTGGAACCCTTTGCCGGTACCAGAGCTAGTTGAGCGGAATTTTGCTACCTTACTAGACGTGACTCCCCAAGTTCCCCGCCCCCTATCCTAGAGTAGCTTTTAGGCTGAGTTGCGTAAATTTAAACTTGCGGATTTGATTTTTTGAATTGAATTTTGCGTGGCAATTCCCGGTTTCCCTAGTCTAGACTAAAATCTTCAACCAATTGATCAGTTTCCGGGAAAATGATACCCTATTCTAGACCCAAACTCTCTAATTTATATACTCTATCCCAGAGAAAACTGCTCGAAAACCATACTCTTCACAGCAGCATAGCCCGCATATCTGGCAGAGCCCCCTGGGGGGAGAAAAGTCTTCAAGAGTTTTTTTGCCTCGATTTCGGAAAGGAATTAAGGGGAAATAATTATAAAGGGAAATGCATTTCATTTTTATGCCCATGATATCCGGATATAAATCTCTTCTTTTCCTCCATCCCTTTTAGTTCACGATCCGGCCTAGTCGCCGCATTTAATCGTCCGATTTAATATGGCACGGGACTTGTAGTAAGTCTATATATTCAGAGGAGAGCATATATCTTGCACAACTAAGAGAGTTAACAATAATACTGTTATATGTACTAATATTTCTCTCCGGCGGTTAATTCTCAGGTGTTTTTGGAAATGATGTGACAAATCGGCCAAAAACGGAACTGCAATACTGGCGTCGTTTGTACAATATGGATCAGTGTAAAGTAGGACTGGAGGTTGTTTTCAAAGAGGTTGACGACACTTACCAGCAAATGAAGCGTTTTCTCTTTGGCAAGAAATCAAAAAGTAAATCCGGTGGGAAATCAGTGACAGTGGGGCTAAAAGTCAAAGGGAAGGCCATTGTGAAAGGTGCTGTGAAAGGCGCAGTAAAAGGTGCAGTGAAAGGTGCAGTGAAAGGCGCAGTGAAAGGCACAATAACAGGTGCATTAGCAGGCGGACCGGCTGGCGCAGTGGCAGGAGCAGCAACAGGAGCAGCGACAGGGGCAGTGGAAGGCGCAGTGAAAGGCGCGGTGAAAGGCGCAGTGAAAGGCGCAGTGAAGGGCGCAGTGAAGGGCGCAGTGAAAGGCGCAGTGAAGGGTGCAGTGAAAGGGGCGGTGAAAGGTGGTGTGAAAAGCGCTGTGAAAGGCAGCCGCCGTCGTAGCACTAGCAGCCGTGGTCGCAGCACTAGCAGCCGCCGTCGGAGCACTAGCACCCACAGCATTGGGGCTAGTCATGAGTTCTGGGGGATTAAATAGCTGTCGGATATATTTCAAGAAGTTGGTCGATTGTAGCTCTGCTCAAACAACTACACTTAAATCTGCTTGTAAGTCCTAAAGAAAAGCTGAAATAAACTCATGGTCTCCGCTACATGTTTCACGTTTTTTTTTACGGGGAAAGATATTATTTACTGGTGCTTTGTTTCCGTTTTCAAACCGGGAAATCGTCACATTCAAAGATAAAAGAAAATCTTTTAATTATTCAGATTCATGCATTTCGTATAAAAATCCCGGGGGAGGGAAGTACAGACCAATATGGCCTTTACGGGGATGTGCTGATGGACAGGGTATGATTTTTGCCTCTCTTTACTAAACAGGGTATACAATTTCGTGTGAGACTGTCAACGGGATATTGCCTGTACGATTGATTTGATTTGCTAGATGAATTTTGTTTGTACTCCAAGTATACGAAAGCAGTGACTATAACGTGAAAAGAAGATGGCGTGCATTTTGACCTTTGTCCTAAACAGGGTAATAAAATTGAGACTTAAATAACAAAACAGCGAAGAGAAAAGCGACTTTAGGTTTTCCGATATTTCGGACGGACAAGCTGTCCTTCTTTAGGGGATTTTGGGAAACTTCAAGTCGCTTTTCTCTTTGTTGTTTTGTTATTGATGTCTACATTTTTGTCTTGGATAAAACAGCAGAATTTGGTTGTCGTAATTTTATGTAAAAATAATAAAATTGAGGGTGTTGTCCTAAACAAGGTATGTATTTTACAAATTTTTTATCCCATTGAAACAGGCAAGGGTCAGGGCTCACCTGTACCTAAAAATTGGTCGAAATTTGATAAAAATGTGTCAATAACTATGCAACAAACAAGTAAATAGATAGCACGTTTACCTTATTTCCATCTAGAAACTAGAGTGCATGATTCATTCGCTGAAAAGTGTAAAATCTCAAACAAAAAACCGTCTTGGGTAACCGAGTTAGTCAGTTATGCGCATGACGGTTGAGTCCTGTGAAAGGTCCTAGGTCACTGATCTCGGGTCCAAAAAAAAAAATGGTTGCATGATCAATAAATGGCAATTTTGTGCTGCAAAACTAGCCAAAAGTGCAAATTATGCTAGCAGTGCTTTAATTTAGAGAAATACATGAAAATTATGCTTCTAATGATGAATTATGCCAAAACAGGTCTACTGCTAAAAATTATGCTCGCCCAATCTAATGAAAGCCTAGCGCCCACCCTGCGCCGCAACTTTAATTTTGATTTTTGCTGTTTTTCTTTTTTCCTTATGTCTTTTTTATTAATGTTAACATACATCTTTTGAATTTTTTGTTACATCTTTTTAATTCTTGTATTATTATTTTTTAAAAAATAGTTTAACTCGAAGTCTAACCCAGTCTTTCATGAAGTCCCACTCGAACTCTAACTCGAACTCGAATCCACACTCGATCAGTTTGGGGATTCCAGCCAACATCTAACTACAGTCTCATTAGTCACGTGATGTGTCACGTGCCTTTTTCCTAAATTCTTAATAAGACAACGAATATGGGGGGGGGGGTTGATGTTTGAAGGAAGAAAATGAACAAATAATACATTTATAATTCAAATTTAATATTTCCCACACTTAACGTTTGAAATTATTGTCCGGTAGTGTACTTTAAAAACAAACATTATGAGGACCTTTAGTGAGAAACTGAGATGGCAGTCTGGCAAATTTTTTCCCTTGGTCCACACACCGAAAGGAAAAGGTGAAGCGACAACACAGTACAGTCTCTCACTCTTGAGGCACTCCATATATATGCCTTGAATTACATTGAAAGAAGCTCTAGCAGTCTTAGGAAATTTGCGATCAGTCCAAAGTTACCACACTGCAAGAAAACTTAGACGCTAATTAAAAGTAGGAATCACCAACTTCCAAATTTTTAAATTTACACTCAAAACCAGAATTTGCTTGAAAAGCTCCCTACAACTTTCCGAAACAGCGAAAACGTGAGATGGCCTTTTCCTCACAGCGCTAAAGATACGTCGATAGTATACAAATCTAGGTTATTCATAAACTCAGTTGAGCTAGTTTAGGTATAACGATATAAGAACTCTCCTGCTGAAATCGAAATGTCTTCAGTTTGCTAAAAATATTTAGATCACAGAGCAGACGGTGTTTCCCCGGTCGCAGCTGAGCACCTAAGGCATTATTATGTCTCATATGTAAAACGAAATCGAGTACTCTGACAGCAATTTGACATGGAAGACTGCTCTTTGATTTTGAATAATTCAAGCTCACTTTTTCTTGGGAATTAGTTTTAAAAGAAATTTCATCATTATCTGCGTTGATTCCTCCATTCCAACCAAAGGACGTCGTCCTTAGTTCGAACCATAGGATTCTGCCAAAGGCAATGGACAAAGAATGAACCCCAATGTTACAAAACCATCAAAAGATCAATATTCCTGCGATGAAACTAACAACAGTCATGTACCAAGAGAGACACGCATGGTAAAGTAATGTTCAAACGCATCTCCTAGTTTCCAGGGGAGGACTGAAATTATGCAATTTTGGATGTGAGCTATTTATGTTATAATCAGTGAAATGTTACAGGTACGTTTTACTTCGACGCAAAGTCAGTTTTGGAGCGTAATCAGTAAATCATGGTAAAAAAAAATCCCACAGTGTTCTTCTCTCAAGGAAGATATTTTTTTGCAATAGGAACCTCTCTAGCTATACCGTTACATGACGCTTTTTGCAAATTGAAATTTACCATTTTCTTAATGATCTTTTATTTGACGATTCTGTAGAGTGAACTGATTCAACAGTCGAGACTGAAAGGGTCAACGCGAAGTTTTTCACGCTAAGTAATTGTATAAATTAACTTGCCAGCAAAATATTAAATTTATTTTCATTGAGACTGTAAGAATAACATAATTATGGTTTATTATCTAATATGAGATTAGGGACTTCATATCATCGCACTTTAAGAAAACATTATTTGTCATTTATTACTGTCCCAATATTTGTCCTGCTCATTTCCGTCGAGAATGGTGGTATATTATTTTAAGTACTCAGCAGGATAACAGCGATAACGATTGACTAAAATTGACTGACTGCAATCCGCGGTCTCAGCGTTGAAAAAAGAGGGAATTTATATCTCTAAAATATTTATTACGTAGACGGGAAAAGAAATGTTGTTTGGGAATCTTACGGACATATCAAAATTCCCAACCAAATGAAGAAATTTTGTATTCATTTGAAATTGACCTGTATTCATGATGCGTTAGATTAGTTTCGCGGCGTTAATCAGTTACATTCATCAGGGTACCAAAATCCAATCAGTTTACCTTAGGAAATAAATTTCCCTCATATAACTCAAAATTAGGATGATGACGATGGTTAAAAACTTAGTCACTGATGAAGAAAAGGCATTCAGTGACCGAGTCTTCAGTGACTAAGTGTAAGTTGAATATTGTTATTTTTATTCAGAACCTCGGTGGAAAAAGCACTGGCGGACACTCAATGCATGGCATCTAAATTCCCATTAGGTTTTCTTTGTAAGTTCTCTTCCTTTAAGCAACGGACATATTACAAGTGCTTCATAATGCAGAGATACTGAGACATATACTTAACTAGCGTTTGGTCACTCACTGACATGCCTGTCTATATCCTGGTTTATCTGGTTCCTTCACTATGTTAAAATCGATTTCCTTTGTGTAGCCTTGATGCCGAAGATCTGCCTTATCTTCAACATTTTCCGCATCTCTGTATCCGAAACCTTACCCTGGGTACCAGAGATTTTTTTCTCACGTGTAAGGAGGAGCTTAGTCGGCCGCAAGAAAAAGCCTTTCGCGCAGGTCACTTTTTAACACTTGACCGAAACCGGAAACCGCGCATGAAAAGTCTCTGGCACACAGGGTACTGAAACCTTTAAGTTGCGGTCGCAAAGCTGAATTTGCACGGATTCCGCAATCAAGTGTGTGGCACCAACAATTGCCTGAATTGCCATTATGTCTATCACTAGTAATAGTTGACACTACAGCTGCCCCCGCTCTGTATATTGTCGGTCAATAGCATTCTTGGTCTTTGTGTAGCTCTTTGAAATATACCGATTCATAAAGAAGATTTTCACACATATTCCATACCTCCCTGAGGTGAGATAAAAACAGGAACGCAAGGTTCCATGCACAGTGTCAGTTCGATTTAAACAGTTTTGATCAAAACAATCTCAGTTTCGAGAATAGTTTATTCTAAACCATAAGAAAAGATTTAATTAGAAGTTGAATTTTTCGCTATTTCTCTTTCTCTTTTTACCTACAGTTCATTTTTAATTATTTCCCGGAAAGTAAACCTTAGAAGTTAAAAGGACGTTTGATCAATTCACGCTCGCGCATTCTAGTCTGGCGGAAGGACATCTGTGAGCAGGAAATAAGTCAGCACAGAATTTGATTGTCGGCGAATTTCTGTAATCGTCCATCGTTCTGCTTGTGATAAGCTAGACTTTGATTCACTCGTCTTGCTAGTTTGGGGCTGAATCTTATTCCGGTCAAAGAAAGAGAAAGAGTGTCTTACCAATCAAAGATTTGTGAACTCGTGTCTGGCAAATTCTCCAAGTTTTTATATGTACGTACACAGTTATACTCACCTTCTAGCTTCCTCTGCCCTTAACGAGTGTTTTTTGGTCTATAACTTTCAAAACAACTGCTCCACAGAATGTCACTGACATCACGTAACGCAAAAGAGTATCGAAAGTATGACTGTCACAAAATCTACCTAAGCGATCTCTTCGGGATTTTCTGTCTTTACGTCATCCTAGCCAGTTACATACAGAGAAATATCGAGTACGCCACATATCTTGAAAAACGTAGAGTGGTTACAATAGCAATGATCAGTACTAACATTTTTCTCTGCGATTAATTCTCAGGTGTTTTGGAAGAGGAAGTTGCTAATCGGTTAAAAATGGAACTGCAATACTGGCACCTGGACGATATGGATCAGTGGAAAGTTGGACTGGAGGTCGTTTTCAAAGGAATCGAAAGTGATCAGCGAAGCAAACGTAATCCTCGAGACAAGAGTACCAAAATACTCGGCGTTAAAGTC